CTGCAGTTCAAGGACAAGTTTTTTTCTTGAAGACGTTCAGACTTTATGTATTCTCCCAATACTTCATAATCCACCCTTATCAAGATTTGTGTAATAGTTTGGATGTCATCTTTTAGGGTAACTAAGAAGCTCAGTGCTACTGAAGGGTATAACCTCCTGACTGACTGCCTGAAGTTTTTTTCTTGAAGACGTTCAGATCATTATGTATTCTCACACTACTTCATATTTCACCCTTTTCAGGATTTGTGTAGGAGTTGGGATGTTATCTTGTAGGGTTCGTAAAAAGCTGAAGACTGCTGTGAAGGGTTACCTAACTGATGACTGACTGAAGTATTTTTCTTGAAGACGTTCAGACTTTATGTATTCTCCCACTACTTCATACCCAACCCCTTTCAGGATCTGTGTAAGAGTTCGGATGTCATCTTGTAGGGTTTCCATCAAGAAGCTGAAGGCTACTGAAGGGTTACCTGACTGACTGAAGTTTTTTCTTGCGTTTAGACCTTCTGTACCCCTCCATTACTTCATATTGCACCCTTTCCAGGATTTGTGTAAGAGTTCGAATGTCATTTTGTAGGGTTCTTATAAGCTGAAGGGTATAACCTCGCTCACTGAAAATATTGAGAGTTGAATGATTTTCTCGCATAACATTTTTTGATTCCGCAGGCTCTGGAAGTCCATCGCAGAAGTTCGCAATCTGCACAACAAGACGAGCAAAAGGAGTTGCGCGAAAGGCATGCAGGGAATTTCCCAAAAAGACATGGCTCTCACCCAGTTCGGGTTCATGGGATTCGCTTTAGCCAGAAGCGAATCAGTGGGGATCCACCGGACGACCGATGAGGAGTGGGAAGCTTTCCTGCACGTCTGGAGAGTGGTAGGGCATCTGTTGGGAATAGAGGACAGGTAGGGGGATATGCAGTGTGTACCAGCTGGAACTTGTCACCCCCTCAATCTCGGATGTCGTTAAAAAAATTGAAAATTGCTCGGACAGAGGTCGATTCCAATTTGGCGAGGGACACATTTTTCTGCAATCATCATATTCCAAAGTTGAAAACTTGAAGCAAAACGGGGGCATTAACTTTAGATTTTCAAATGGAACACCATGTATTTCATTTCATTTTTAGGTTCTAACTGAAGAGCTGTTTTCATCAATACATCACACTTGGTGTCTATCGGAAATGATTACAAGAGATATAGGGTGTTCATGAATACAGGGTATTCTGTTTGAAATAACAAAGTTGATGCTACTTTTTGATAGAAGCGGCAAGGGATGCCGTTCGTTATTGTTGAATATTTTTTCAAGAAACTTGATACAGATCCATTTCAGAAGACGTAGATTTCATTGGTGTACGCGGATTTTTGTTTTGAAAATCGCCAATGAGGATTCTGGATTTTTCAGCCTCTGAATGTGATTTCTAGTAGGCCTTGGTTTTCGAAAAAATGGACGCCGCCCGGCTCAAAAATACACCTTTCCTCTCCTCTACATTTCAAGAAATAATTAGTGAAAATTATGAGGGTGTGACAAGCTTTTAAATGGGTCACTCTGTAGATAAAACTACACTTTTTTGTCTTGGGGCTCAATTAGATTCCTTTGTATGAATTTGACAGTTTTGCAAACAGTGACAGAAGGCATAACACCAAATTCTCAAAATGACTTTGAAGGTTTGGTTGAACAAAGACATGGATATGCTTTTCCATGCACTTCGGATCTTCTTTCCTCTACTGCCGCGATGAAGGGTACATCCATATATCTTTCTTTTCATAAAGAAGTGGCGTCTCATCTCAATGGCCAAGAGGGGTCATATAGTTTGTAACTCAATTTATTGATAGGATTTCTCGATATACTTAACAAAAGGTATAATATGTTGAGTCGATTTATTTAATTTTAGGATGCACTAGTTTTTCAATAGAAGAGTCAGGATTTATAGTAGCCAGTTCTGCTGAGCGAAATTCGACAGACACAAGTATAATGATTATAGTTCAAAAATAGGATCAAAATATATATAAAGTTTCAAGTAATGGTAGGTACCTACAGTTTTTTCCTAATTATAAGAATTTTATAAAGAATGTCTTCGGTAATCTTTCTGATGATAGAATGAAGGCTCCGCATTATATTTTAATTTAATGGTATGTTCCACTATCAAATCTTCACTTTTCAAGTGCACCTATTATGTTAAAATTGAAATTAGAAATCATATTATTCCTTCAAATATGCATTATATTCAATCGAAAAATTCAAATATTGAGTACTTCGCAAATTTTGCTAGCTAGTCATTTAGAATTTTTTAGGGTTATGCCTTCTGTCACTGCTTGTCACAGTGTCCGTACTTTTATTACAACAAAACTGTCAAATACATACAGGGCGTCTAGGCTCAATTATTGATAACTGGATGCGTTTCGTTTTCAGGTTCAATATTTGTAGTGGATCTGTGGCAGAAACCCGGCAAATATGTAACGTGATGATAGAACAAGTATTCCGACCGGAGATAGAGAAAAAACGCGAAGATTTCTTATCAATGAGTGGTTATCTAATCAAAGGATTGTCGACGTTCGTTCCATCTCTAGAGTTTAATAGCATGATGAACACTCTTTACAATTTGGTGCAAGACGTTTCGGTAAAGAATGATTGTCGGATTTTACCGTATTTGCAGATGACCTTCATTCAGAAAATGATATTCCAAGTGCATCATGTCATTACATGCGATTTATTGAAATACGATATTTGCAGAATATTACTCAATTGTGTTCATCATTTTAGTTACTGGCTTATGAACGTATTTCCGTTTTTGGCGTATTATAGATTTGGAAAAACAAATTCACATGTTAGCATTGGGATCTGAAAAAAAAATGCTGGAATAGATACGTTATTACTTGTGTTTGTTAGTTGATTGCTTCATGGAAATGTCTCGCCACTGCATCAAAAAATGATTTATGCTGGAATTAGATATTTTTGTATTTATTGTGCGAAATGCTACTTTGCTGATCGAGAACTGATTTTATGAACGAGGCGCAGCCGAGATGACAAAGTATTTCGCGCACGAGTTTTATACAAACGTCAAAAAATATAGTTCTAACTCGAGTTCTAAGGATGTTATATGCTTAGCTTAAAATAAAATTTGAATTGAACTGGCTTAACAGGCCTCTCCCTATCCTCCCTATATATAGGTACGCACGATCTTCCACGATCATTATAGGAACTTCCTATCGAGCGCTCCAAGAGATAAAAAATATCAATGTTGAACATTCAGAAATAAATGATTTCTTGGATGTTTGCTCGATTGAGGACCATATAAAGTTTAAATACCTATAAAAATCTCATATGATAGCCACTTTCTTTTTGATGTGAGCAGCCCAGTGTTTATTGAATTTGAGCTACTCCCAAAGAGAACGCATTTAAGTGAACTTTCAAAATGAACAAACCTGCGCCTGAGTTGAAGTCGTTTGGTTTTTGGGTTTGTATTGGTCATTTCAATAAAGGTGTAGTAACTCAGTTGGAATATAAGTTCGATTTGTAACAAGTGATAGCGGAGGACTGGGGTTCGAATCCCGTGGCGGCCGCCTTTTTTTTAATTGAATGTATCGGCAGACATATACTGGCCCTGATGACGGCCAGAGTCTCCTTTTGGTATTGGTCCATCAATGTTCACAGGAATTTTGCCGTTCTGGTCAATTCTGGCCAGCATATTATGGGTCAGCACAAGGCGGACCAAAATTCTTTGCTGGGATGCTATAGCGAATTGCCCCTGCCAGTGGTAGATTCATGATTTTCAGTGTGATAGGTTATATAATATAGGTACATAGTAGCGTCTTCATCTTGGTTGTAACATATTTTATTTAACGTTTTTTCTTTGTTTAACAAAGGACCAATAATATCCACGTTTCAACCAAACATAACCCTGTTATTTGTGGTAAAACTATTATAAAATAATTTAACTATAGAAGTTTTCAGATTTTTCTCCTGGTTTCTGGATTTATGAAGCAGAATAGCTAAAATGGTATAGGTATGAGTACTTAGAAATACAGTAAGTAGGCAGTTATATAATCTGTCTCTACTCTCTAGTTATATTCAGATATGGATCAACTTCTCTGTCTTTTTTAAATATTATATATATCAGATGATTCTCTTGTTAATTCCAGAAAAAATAGACATAGCCAAAAAACACAGGAGTGTTTAACAGGGTGGGACCACATTAAATATTGCTCAAACTTTTTGTATGCATATTTTTCGACAATTCAATCTCGGATTATGAAAATTCACACCTCTTTACAAAAACAGGTGCATTTGTTCCTTATTGATTAGATGAATCATTTTCGAGTGAAATCTATTTGAAAATATTGTTACATCTCAAATATTATTATAACGTTGCCAATTTCCAAATCACATAGTATAGCTATAAAAAGAATCAACTACCTTCTTTTCACCAAACAATTTCATAAAGGCGCGTGAAATAGGAAATTATGATGAAAAACTACTTCAATTTTTGTGCATTTTTTTGTCCACATCCACTATGCTTTATTGCTATGTTATGCATAATATGTGAGATGTAACAATATTTTTAAATCGATTTTCCTTGAAAATGATACATCTGATCGATACAGAACAGGAGCACAGTTTTTCTGTAAAGAGGTGTGTATTTTCATAGCCCGAGATTAATTTGTGGAAAAATATGCATACAAAAAAATATGAGCAATATTTAATGTAGTTGCACCCTATATTATACTCTCCTGAATGAAATTTTGGGATGATTATATTTTCACTGCATTGGGCATGAAAAGTTTAGTTATTGTACCGAATCGCATCATTTTATTTATCACATGACGTTTCGGAAATATGCAAGAAATATCATCTTCAAGAGCCCCCTTTCAGAGCCGCGTAGCTCCTTCAGGAAACATTTATTGACTCATGTTCATTGGAACTTTTCTTCCTATTTTTGGTCATCAAATAAGCCGCTGGTGAAGTTTGGTAGGCTAATTTCGGGACACCCTGTATATAAAGACGATGAGAAGGTCAAATTGAGAAGTTATGCAAACAAAAGGCAGAGATTCAGATTGAGTTTAAAAAAAAAAAAAAAAAGTGTTTTTAACCGCCAGCTTAGTTGCAAAGCAACCCTCGAAAGTCAGAGACTTGTGTGAGTTAGGAAGACGGGGACCTTAGCTTTTCAAGTGTCATCCGAAGCACTACTCGGCTGGTAACCGTGGACAGTCCAGTTGAGTTGAATAATGGAAGAATTTCTTTCCCAACTGATAAAAAAGGTGTAATTCTGTGTACTGACTTCGGTGATAAGATAAGGAACCAAATACTGGAAACCATAAGTGCTAACTGCTAATTATGCTAATCACTAATAATAAGCTGCCTGATAGGAGAACTCATATAACTTATGCAATATATAATTTATAAACATCTACAACTATAACAAGATAGAAAGAAGCTTTTTAGTGTTTAGTGAAACCATACCCTACCTGAATCTGTGCCTGAATTTGAGTAGGAAAGTAGGTATATAGTATGGATCTTCCGGAAACATATATTCCTGGTTTTCATGATGAAAAATCAGTGAGGAAAATGAGCTACAGAAAATTGGGAAACACAGATATACATGTTTCTATGATATCTCTTGGAACTGGAGGATTTTCTTATTTCTATGGGTAATTCAACACAATTACATAACCTCAAATTCTACTACCTCTCCAATCAAGTATCAACAGTTCACATTTTTGGTGTACAAAATGAATTAAAGTCTACAATTTTGTTTCAACCTAATGGCATTGGTTTGAAAAGTTCCTTGGCCACCATTTTATCAAGTTTTTGGTAGATGTGTGTCCTCAAAATATATTAAAAGTGTGTTACCTCATTCTGTTTCCAGTGATTTTGACATAGAAGAATGTAAAAAGACTGTTCATCAGGCAATTATAAATGGCATTAACTTTATCGACACTGGACCCTGGTATGGCCATGGGGTAGCTGAAGAAATCCTGGGAAAGGTGAAAAGATATTCAATTATTTTATTAAAAAAAAAATTAGGTTGAAACTCAACACAGATCATCATTGTTTAGTGTATTAATCCATAGTGTGAAGAATTGAAGATTCATGATCAAAATTAGATATTTATTCTATTCTATCCAATAATCCTCCTTGATGAGAGTCTTCAGTTCTGATTCAGACTAGACACAAAATTTCTGTTGGTAATTATTTATACTCACTGGAATGTTTTCAAGTGTTTGGAAGGAATTCCAAGGAAAGCCTACTATTTGGCTACTAAAGTTGGTAGATATGAAAAGAATCCAAAACTGATGTTTGACTTCTCCAGTAAGAAAACACTAGAAAGTATTGATGCCTCACTGAGAAGACTGAAATTGAGTTATGTAGATATTTTACAGGTAAGTGAACAGTCTATAAAAATTACCAGGTCTAATTGGATTAGAGATACTTCCTTATAGGTACATGATATAGAATTTGCACCTAATATGGAAATCATTCTTACTGAAACTTTACCAACCATAGCAGATATTATTGAATCTGGAAAGGCCAGATACATAGGTATCACAGGTTACCCTGTTTCTACACTTGTAGAATGCATAGAAAAAAGTCCCATTCCTATAAGCACAGTTCTCAGTTACTGCAGATTGACTATGATAGATGGTACATTGAAAGATTTCATTTCTGTTTTGAAAGTGAGTTTAGAAAGTATTATGATCTATTTCAATAGTTTGAGTTTTATTATTGTTTTAGAAAAATGGTGTTGGCATCATCAATGCAGCAGCTAATTCTATGGGACTACTTAGCAACTTTGGACCACAAGATTGGCACCCAGCAAGTCAAGAAATAAAAAATATTTGTTCACAAGCTAGAGACTTGTGCAAGGTTACAATTCCACAAGAACTTGCAAGAATTTTGACATCCTGATTCTTTTTTTTAGCAAAATGATGTGGAATTAGGAAAGCTGGCAGTTTATTATAGTTTGCAACAAAAAGGTCCAGATACAGTACTGATAGGAATGAATACTAGAAAATTACTACAGTACAATTTGAATGTTTTGAATGGACTCACATCACAAGAAAAAGAAATTTATGATAAAGTTCTCAAGTAAGTAAACATCCAATACTAAGCTGCCTCTGCATCTGAATTTACTTTTTTGAAGGATGTTTGGAGAGTTATCAGTAATACATTGGGAAAAAGTTGAACTTGAGCAATATTGGCAAACCCTAAGAGGTGAAAGGAACAGCACAGGTTTCTTCAAATAATGTTAGAATATATTCCAATTTGTTAACTAAACATGAGTATATACCATTAAAAAATATATAAAGTAATTATTTTTGATCACCTGATTTTGAAAAACCACTATAGCCAAGTCCTATCATTCTCTTGATCATAATTTTTCAACATTCACATAGTGTATCACAGTTTTTTGACCTAAAGGTCAGTTTTGGGACCTAATGACAATGGTATAGCAGCCAGTTCTGTCCGTAAACACAAAAATTCTCCACAAACACACATGAGAGTTGCACAAGCAACATTTAAAGCCCACCATGAAAAAGTTGTTGGAAAGCATTCATTATAGAACCAGGAAACTAGCAGGTGGATGAGGTGCCAGGTACAGCTGAAGTCCAGGCATAGTTTGGTGCGTTCTACAAAGTACCATAGAGCCAGGGCACTGTGAAAGATCACATATAAATATCAATTGAATGCTACCATTTCCAGTTGAACTCACCCCACAAGAGCATTGATTGTAAAGCTCATGATTACAATTCTTCCTCCAAAATCACGAATCTGAACTTCCTGAAAACTGAAATGAAGAGGAGAAATTCCAATGATTATCAGATTTCAAACTTACATGATATTCAAATATGTGGTCTAATGTTTTAGGCTCCCCAACAATGGAACTCAGTAGTGCTAGTATTAGTCCAAGAGAAACATATAAGATACACTGAATTGATATTATCTGGAATATTATTAGCCAAGGATCCCATTGGTAGTATTTGAATGATCCAGTGAGTCTCTTCATTTTTCAATCAATTCTTCTGAATTGATGATGGGACAGATGGATCATGTATGATGAATCAAGAGGAAATTATGAGTAAATGACTTTTCACACTTCTGTTCACTGAATAATACAAATAGGTCTCTTATAGAGATGTTTCTTCATCAAACCTGGCAATTAACATCTATATATTTTAATGGTATATTAGACCATTTTGGAAATAGAAAATATAATAAAACCACAGACGTAACCTAACAATGCACTGTTTCCAAATTAATAATGTCAACATTGTCAACTAGTGAACTGTCACTACTGTCAGTACTGATATAGTTCCTGTGTCCTGTGCTGTGCACTCACTCTTCATTTCGGGTCAGCAGGGATACTAGATTTAGTACTATTCGAAAATGTTTAGTACCTGATTGTTTTTTTTTTATGAAATCTAGTACTAAATGAAGAATTGTTTCAGTTTATTCTTGAGTTTGGAATGGTTTGGATTATTTCTCACATCTTGAAGATATTGACATAACTTTTATCAATATTGAATTTTATTTTTCATTTCTCTAGGCATCTTACATACGGTGAATTGGAACCTCGGAGACGTACGTAAAATTTGAGGAATAATGAAATTCAGTACTAAATTCCCAATTCTAGTACTTTTTCGAAGTGAGGTCTAGTACTATATATTCTCGGTCAGGAACAGCTATGTTGTGTGTGGTCGATTGGTGTGTTGTGTGTTGTTGTTTGTGTTCGTGTTTGTGTCAATGTCATTGTGTCGTTTTAATAAAATCCAACTCCAACCAAAGAAATTTCAATCCAAAATTTCTTGTGCGATAGAAATTCAAATTGTTCTTGGGTAATTAGATTCTAGTTTTAGCATGAAGAATTCGATAGCCTTTGGAGTGATTACAGGTAATTTGAAGAATATAATCTTTAATAAATCCAATGAGTATTTTCTTAGGATGTTTTTCTGTTTTCTATACATGATCAAAAACGCCTTCCTGAGCAAGATATAATTTTAAGCTTTTCGACTAAAAAATGTATAACATTTTTTGATGGAAATATTTTCTATGTAGGTAGGTATTTATTACAGTGGCTATCCCATCCACATTGTAGTCACCCTATTTATCCAGGAAAACCCGGGAAAACCACAATGATAAGGTTTTTGGTGCCCGGATGTTTTCAAGGAAATATGCTATCCTAAGAAATATGAATTTATATATTTTTTGATAGTTCACACATATTCACACCATTTCAAATAAACATACCCAAGGTAGGTAGGTATATATTGGATGTTCCCATAATTCAATCAATAATTTATGAAGGAGAAGTAGATCACATGTTGACTTGTCTCAGTTGAATAGCCATGATATTGATCCCCATTATTAGTCAGGCATGGAAATAGTGTATTTAGATCTATGACTCTCTGACAGATATTCATTAAATTATACATACCTAATTCCACATTATTTCAATTTTCAGGTGTCCTTTTACTGTCTACTACTGTTTCGACACAGTCACAGGTAAACATAGTGTATTATGAATGAATAGTATATTTCAAAATTCCAATGTACCTATTTTTTTAAGACATACAGGGCTGCCATAACATTATTCAAACCCAATGATACTTCACAAAATACACCTGATGAAGATGTATCAGAGAATAGTGCAAATTATGTGAAATATATTCAACAAATCAAAGATAAGGTTTGTAAATAACTTCCATTCAGTGTATTTTCATGCATTCATATTATTATATTTTTAGGCTGATATAATTATATTCCCAGAATATGGACTCACCAAAATTGATGTTATGTTGAAGCAAATATATCATCTAGACTCATTCAGTACAGAGGTCAAAGATGTTGGTTATCAATATAAAAATTGTACAGTAAATGTAAGATTTTTTTCAGAGATATAGGCTAGGTGGTAAAATATGATTTCAACAAAAAATAATTGACCCGAAATTCAATTTTCTCATTATTTGTATCTTTCCTTCATACTCACATACTCATTCACTTACTTTCCAAGGAAATGATAGTGAATCTTTTCCAAACTTTCATTTTGAATGTATGCTTTCAACAATTGTGTGGGATGGGTAGTTATTGATGTGAGTTTTATGACTATCATTTTCTTCTAGGACAACCTGGCAAAAATAGCTTGTGCTGCAAAAGAAAATAATGTTTATGTGTTATTTAATTTGGTAGAGAAACAAAACAACATGTCTTACTTTGTGACTAATGTTGCCATAGACTCTAATGGAACAATCTGTTTGAAGTAAGCAGATTACATTGACATTACTTAGGACTTATTGTCATTTATATTTCAGATGTAGGAAACACCATTTGAATAATGGAACTAGCTTCTCACAGGGAGAGAATCAAAAATCTTGTTCATTCACAGCAAAATTCAAAAATGTATCAACTGATTTTGCTGTGATGTATGAGACTGATATGTTATATGCAATTCCTGATTTTCTCAAGAAGGATAACATCATTATGACTTCTGCAATTAAGAATAGTTTGCCATTTGAATATGGTAAGAGGAAATAACAATAATAATAATAAAGTTTATTCAATGAATATATACATTAGTGATATTGATAGTATTTTTTTTAGATATATGTATATAAGCATATAAACAAACATGAACCACTAACCAAATAACACTAATAGATCAGATTTGTATTATTGGTGTTTTGAATGTTATAATTTATATAATATACAGTGTGTCCCGGTTTTCATTAATACACCCTAATATCTCATTTATTAATAATGCGATTTTTTTGAAATTTTGGTAGTGATTGTATGTTAGAACAATGAAGTATTCTGCAGAGTGAACAGTTTCATTGATCATTGGCTTGCATTCTTGTGGAGTACAAAAAAGGCCTTTATTCTGGAAAATGATATTATTAGAGCTTATATGATATGACTTTTTTTATCATATTCAGACTCAGCATCCCCGAAAATCCACCAATTCATATGGTCAAAATCTCAAGAAAAATTCAAAATCCTGCTTTTCATGACTTTGCCCTGAAATCTCCTTAATTAATGAGGTATTAGGGTGTATTTCATGAAAAGTGGGACACACTGTATAATTATTTGGTTCTTGGAATGACATGATTAAGAAAAACTTCTAGATCACTATCAATATTATCAATATGTAATAAATTGTCTGTTCAAAGAAAAAATATATTTTCAGGACCAAGTTTACATGCTGGTTTTGCTATAAACAACAATGTGAATCTTTTGGTGTCTGAATATTCTGATACCAAAGAAGCAACAAATGGTTATGGTGGATCAGGAATTTACTTGAGTAATGGAACAAGCTTGCTGGCCTTAGATTCTAAAGCAGACAACAATTTTCTGATCAAAGAAATACCTTTGACATCTGACAGTAGTTCAAAAAAGAGTGTAAGTAACTGGATACACTTGATATTGTCACAATAATAGACATAGACAAGTACTTTTTGTGACACTCATACAATCATCACTAACTTAAAACACCATTTCAACTTCATATGGATAAACCATAATCATTTCAATTATCATTTTACAATCATCTAGTAAGCTTAACTTGTTTCCTAATTTGTCTTCCAGGTTAGAGTTCAGATACAGGGTAACATTCCAAGTTGGAATTTAGCATTTCTTAAAGCTTCTCATATTCCAAATGCTAACAAAACTGTGCAACAATGCTTGCAGGACCAGAACTTCTGTTGCAAATTTACGGCTGATATTTCACAAGACAATATTGAGCCCTACAGGTTAGTTTCAAGTCAAAAATTCTTAAAAATTCTTCTAGATAAAGTTTTAGATGTATAAAATATTCTCAAATAAGGCAAAATATTGAAACCATATTATGCTGGATACAAAAATTCACTTAATTTCAAAAAAAATTGTATCAGCAGCATGTCTGTATACAGGGTGTTGGTTTTTCGAGCTCCACCATGGGGATCTTGAGGCACTTTTTTACAAGAAATCTGAATCTGTCGTTGTGTTCTCCATGAGGTTCTTGATGCCAAAGTTACAACACACAACTTTGTTTTTTCTTATGGGCGCCATATTGGATTTTTACATTTTTGAAACCTCTTTTTTTTTTTCTGATTACAATGATGTATCACGCGATATGATCGAATCTTTCCTGTTGATCAAAATTGTGAAAAAACCATTTTTGCGAAGAGTGCTGTGGAAAGAACGCCAACAGTTTTGTTTAACAAGCTGAATTTCGACAGTTTATTTAAATTTGGATCTGTAACGTTCACATTTTCGTCACGCTCATCTACTTACTTGAAAACAATGGTTTTGAATCTGGATCGACGTAATGAGCTAGAAGTTTATTCTTTGCAGAACAAAATAAAGTCTAAACACAATTCTACGCGTTTCTTCGGATTCTGAATTGCTCGCGAGATGTCCCGTCTTCTTATCTTAGTCCTGAAAGTGGTGATTATGGTTCTCTTCAGCTCATCAATATCGATCGGTACAGTTTTGAAAATCAAATCTTTCATAGTTCCCAATCAATAATAATCCAGCAGAGAGAGGTCAGGTGACCGCGCTGACCAACGTATGTCTACGTTGTTGGAAATTACCTTGTCAAGGAACATATCTGACAGACACTCGGCAACCCTTCTTGCGATATGTGGATAAGCTTCAGAATTCAACATTCCGCTCGCATATTCAATTGAACTGTCAAAATTCAGTTTAACAGAACTGTTGGCGTTCCTCTAAAAGCACTATTCGTAAAAATGTTTTTTTCTACAAACGCTCAACAAAGTAGCCTTTGACGCTTTCAAATTCCAGCACAAAGTTGACGTTTTCCCAGAAATGTCATTCTTTGATAGCATTTGCGCTCGTGAGCGGAAATATTGAAAAAACGCTCGCACATCTCTGTAACCTATACTTATCTATTCTTGAAAAGCCCCAATTCTGTCATGATGGAAAATAGTGACAGTGAATCATCAAACACACCTCCATCCTGATGATATAGCAGAAAGCGCAAGAGTTTGAATCTCTTACCGGAGAAATCAAGGAAGAAATATGAATTAGAATATGATACATTCATAAATTGGTGCCACTTCGAGATGGTGAATATGTATTCAGAAAACGTTTTACTGGCTTATTTTGGTAAAAAATCAAAGACTGAAGTCATCAACTCATTGGTCTATACAGGGTGTCCGCTAAAAGGAGGTCAATCCATTAACCATATATTCCTTGAACAAAAATAATATGAGTTTCTGAATACCATTTTTCATTTTAGCACTTCATATTCGATTTACAGGGTGTCAAAGTTGGAAATTAAAAACTGTTTTTATTTAATTACTCTCGTATTTGATAAGATATTGATCTCAAAATTGGTACATCACCTCAGCACAAAGAGATACATTGTGTGAGGAAAACAAAACCGAAAATAACTGTCAAAATATTCAAAATACTGGGGGTCAAGTACACACTTACCCCCATATTTTTTTTGTACGTGCGCTAATGACTTCCTATCTATTTTTCTTCAAGTGTTCAATCATTTTTGAGTATTTTTTGTCTCATGTAAAGTTTCGATAAAATTACTTGTTTTCAAGATAATTCGAAAAGTACTGGTTATTGTTTGATGCCTATGCGGCTAACGGAAATCTTATAATATTCACATACTCCTATTTATGTCGTCGAAATTGGAAGAGGGTGTAACTTTTTACGCACGAAAAGGTAAATATGGAAATACCGGGTGCTCAGAGCGAATGTATTGAAATAATTTTAAAAAAATTGTTGGAAATAATTCAACACGTTTAATTTAATTTCCAACTTTGACACCCTGTTTATCGAATATGAAGGGATAAAATGAAATATTGTATTTAGAAACTCATATTATTTTTGTTCAAGGAATATATGGTTAATGGATTGACCTCCTTTTAGCGGACACCCTGTATAATCGATGGTAGGTACGTATACATGCTTGGACGTTAAAGATAATATCGGAATCAATAAGTATCTGAAACTTCTCAAGAAACAATCTATTGGATATAAAGCGAGAAAAATCCAAAACATTCACCGTTAGTAGAAAAAATCTTGTGTGTATTTCGAGCACAAAGTGTCATTGCCGCTCTCCAAAGATTACCGCGCTCCGCTCCGCATCGCGCGGTAACTTTCTTTGTCGAGCGGCAATCTATCACTTTGCGCTCTAAATTCACAAATAGCTATTTGCCAATTTTGATCAACAGAAAAGATTAGGTCAAATCAGAAAAAAAGACATTTCAAAAATACAAAAATCCGATATGGCGTCCATAAGAAAAAACGTCATGGAAAATACGATGACAGATTCAGATTTCTTGTGAAAAAGTGCATCAAGAAGGTCCTATTCAGAAACGTCTAGGTCTTCTGGTTTCCTCTTGAAAAAATAAAAACGTAAATTACAAATTTTCGTTTTCTTCGAATAATTTAAAAACTAAAAATGACATCGAATGCAGATAAATGTTAATCGTATCTCTTATAATAACTGAGATCCCCATGGTGAAGCTCGAAAAACGGGCACCCTGTATAGGTGCTAGAATCAAATATCATGAAAAATATGAGCTGATGATTTTTACACAAAGCAATAAATTTTCAGGTGGGTTGTCCTGCAGAACAAATCAACCATACTGGACCAGCGAGTGGACATTTTCATCTGTGCCCTTGTCAAACCAGCGGCGACCTCCAAAACTTTATCCTTCAAAAGCGTTGATATAACTTCCACTGTCAAACATCGTCCTACTATTCAAACACTACCGATAGGGGTCACCTCCACCTTCTCTCTGCCAAATTTTGAATACACCAGCGACCGAACCAATGAAAAATCTCTGACGTTATTGAAAGAAGACGAAATATTGTCTTTTGGTATTGTAAGAATCTTGGGGCCGAGTTCTAGTAATTCTAGCATGACGGGGATAATTATCGGTGTCGTACTGGGTGTTTTAGTGGTATTGGCGCTGGCTGCAGTGGGTTATTGGTGGTACAAAAGAAATGGGGGATACATGCGTCCAGGAAAGTAGACCTAAAACGTCCGTGACAACCTTTTCAACTAGCGAACGCAAAATGCGCTGTATATGTTGCTTGTCACTTGATCATTCAATGTTTTATTAGAATGCGTGATCAGAACCTTGCATCTTTGACATTTCGCTCTTTTTTGGAGATTGTTGGAGTACATATGAGACATGACGCGTTTTCGGCGTTTCAGTTTACTCATTTGCGCTCGAAATTTGTTAGATTGTGTATATTCTAGTCTGTGGTTTTCTGATAACCCCACAAAATGGATGGGTATTTTTCACTCGTTTGTTTCAAGTTAGTTTAACCATTGTCGTTCTAGATGACAACCTAGTTGGGTAGTTAGTAGGCAGGAGCTATAATATATAATATTATACCTCCTCGCACTAGGTCGCCTACTAGGTTTTCATTTTTTTTGTTTTTTTGTTCTAAAATTTGTTCTATCCGTCATTCGCTTGCCCCCTTACGAGCAACCCTCAAAAGTCTTCGAAAGTCTTGTGCGAGCAAGGAATGACGGGGGCCTTACCTTTTAACGTGTGATCCCAAACACTTTCTTGGGCCATCAGAAAAATTTCTGCAGTCGACGGGGATCGAACCCACGACCGGCAAGCGAATGCGAATTAGAATATAGACACTCTGTCCGCACGGCTACCTGGCCACCCATTTAGATCGACAATTAATGGTTTAACGCAGGTTATGATTATGACTTTCATATCCTCAAGTAATAAGTACTTCCTTTAACATCATTGAAGATATAGATGTGACTGAAATGAGTAGCATCACATTTTGATGATAATGATAAAATCTTCAGGAAGTGACACTGAGGTTCTGTTGAGGTCCACAAATCTGAAAACAATAAGTCGCGTGCACGATGACCGACCCTGGAAGTGAAATATTGAAACACAACCTCACTTTTCTGTAGAACATTGAAACACAACCTCACTTTTTTCATTTGTTTACAGAGAAATCAAAGGATTGAAATAGTTTGTCACGATATGTTGTCATACGAATCGTGTTTTTTGCGCTATGCATTAATTCAAGCATGCCTCGTCATTTTGCTGTTGCACAATGCAGCGAGAGAAGAGATGAAGGAATATGATTTTTCACGTAAATAGTATTCTCACATAGTTTTCATTATGAAACTTTGTCAATTCTTATTGAAATTCCTGCCAGGTTCTATAATAGAAGCTAATACTGCTAATATTGATTGAAAATGTCTACAACACACACGATGATATTTCGTCAGCATGTCAGGCCAGTCCGTCTCCCGTTTGCATGAATCCAATCTTCTTGCATTATTTTAGAAATCTCACGAGTATTTCTATTAGTTCCTATTGCATATGGAATTCCGATGAGAAATCAGAGAAATTACCAAATTTCGAGAATGAAAACTATATGTATGAGTGTTTATATAGTAGGTTCTTACTTCTAAACATGATGGACCAACCTGATTCCTTCGTATTCCGCTGAATAGCCGGAAACCACGATTCGTATTCCAAAATAATTGTGGAAAACTATTTCAATCACTTGTAAACAAATAAGAAAAGTGAGGTTGTGTTTCAATGTTTCACCTCCAGATTAAGTCATCTGACAGTTCTGGCACGCAACCCATATTCAATCATACATCCAACATATGATTTCAACATTGATATATAAGTGTCATTCAATATTATTTTTTTGCAACTAGCATGTAAGATCTCCTTCAAGAATCTCATTTCATGAATTGAACTGACTGAAGACTGGACGTGACTGAACTAATCTTGCAATTTAAAAAAAAACACTGTTTATGACAATCTCATATGTCAAAAAACGAACTCAAAATTCCGTGCGAATACTACATGGAATAGTAATTAACTTTGAGTAAACTGATAAAAATAAGGGTGTGTGGTTGTGTTTGTCATTTCCACAATTTGTCAAGCGCACGAATCGATGAAACCATTGACCTGTTGCAAAATCCCGCTGAAATGTTGATGAAAATCCATAAAACTGTTCAAGTTCAATTTACTTCGAGAGAATCCATCGGTTTGGAGGAGATTGACAGGACAATTGACACAAATTTAGTATTGTTCTTTGTTTTGATTTGATATAACGCAAACATTATTGAGGATCAACAGTTTCCATCGACATCTCTGCGGAATTTTGCAATAGTTCGATTCATGCGCATTACAAATTGTTGAAGGAGATTTTTTCGGATAGGTGGGCGTGGTTTCCGATGACGTGAGCAAATAGATTCAAATATGTCCACTGTAAATGGCTTTGGCACGGTTACTTATATCCATATATCTACTATTTCAATATATGGGGCATCGCCTATAGGATATCTCAACAAAAATGGGACCAAAATGAGAGGTAGATACTTTTTGAATCTATAAGGACGGAAAGTGAAGGATGGAAACAGCCATATTGGTTAGATAAGTTTCGTATTATTTTTTTCCTACGTCGACATCAACGCCTATTGGTCGATTTCGTTACCTATAGAGACAGAAGTTGGTCTCGCTTTGAGGAGAGCTATGCTTCATATATGAGTAGTAGATATATGCTTATATCGGTGAGCATAGTGGATGATCGGTGAGGTATCTTGAGGAAATGAACAATCCTTTGTAGTTTTCTGTGTTACAAAGAAAAATATATTGTTTATGTTTACCTCAAATTGTACTGATATGTTATTACTTTTATAACGAAACATTTTAGAATTAGTGATTCTTTAAAAATATTCTAGTGTATCCAATGATTATGTATGATAATTTTAGAATGTCGATGGCGAAAATTGTAGCCTCATTCTCAAAAAAGCGTGAAATGTCAAAAATGTTAAGACACTATGTTTTTCACTTTACTAAATGCTTAAAAAGAAAACTTCCCTTTAGAAACTTGATTTTTCAATGGTTCAAAATGAGGTCTATTACAAAACCGTTAATATACACTCTCAGGCAAAAATAAGCCATCAAAAAATTTACCCAAATTGTTCACCCTGTTACTTTTCTTATACTTGCCTGATTTTTGTGAAATTTCGATCAAATCGTAGATTCATGTTACGGGATGTTAGCCTAAATATCAGCTTTCGTGAACAGCTGATGACTTGATCATTATACAGGGAAAAGACAAATTTACTCTTTTACCCTTTACTTCTTAAAGCTCTGTGGCAGAACTGAGTGGTTGAACTTCTTAACACAATACTTTTTGATCCACGTCAATATCAATTTGAGAGAAGATACGAGTGTTTTAAGAAAGTATGGCATGTTTCAGTTTTCATTAACAATAATCATAAACTACATAAACTTATTGATCAACAACTAGAAGGATTAATATCATTTATCCCTACCTCATTTTCTTAACACTCACCGGAAAAAACCTCAATTGATCAACTTTCTCAACTAGTCTTGACGAATTGCCTAAAATTCTCCTTGAAGGGCGAATCGTAGTTCTTGAAGATTCTGATAAAGCCGGACGAAGGCAAAGGAGCCTCTGGAGTTAATTCCTAAGATGCTCTACAGGTTCTGAATTATTGTTGATAGAAATTAAAATACATACTTCCTCAAAACACTTGTATCTTCTCTTGAATAGAAGATATTGACGTAAATCTAGAACCATTCAAAAGGGACGAAAAAGGGCCACACTTAAATTCAAAACATGATGAAGCAGAAGGTTGGAGAATGGTTGTGAATCATTGTTAATGATAATTAAAAATATTCATACTCCCTTAAAACACTCGTATCTCCTCTCAAAAAGTGGTTATCGACGTGAATCAAAAACCATTGTGTCAAGAAGGGGACACACTTCAATCCAAAACAATCATAATGAAGATAAGTTTAACCACTTACTTTTGTCACAGGGCGTTAAGAAGTTAGGGGCGGAAGGGTAAGTTTTGTTTCTCATTGTATAATGATCAAACCATCATTTTTTCTTAGGAATTAATATACAGGCTATCGGGCGAAAAATTTGGATACATTTTTAGGTGGTCGGTTTTTGCTGCCGGTGAATGTATGTCGTGGTTAAAATTCCAATGGTTATAACAGGTTATAACTCCTGTTCATATTCTCATTTAGATCCCTAATTAATGTGATTGAAACTCCCACTCAATGGCATGTGGTTGGGTATCTTAATCCATAAATAGAGAGAGACAGTCATAGACATTAGTTGATGAACTGAGGATATACCTAGTACTCCTAGTAGTTTCAAGTGAGAAGATTCCTCCCCATAATATGATCAATCTTCACTTGATACTTTTTCCCGGTTCAAGAACTTTTGCACCTAATATTCATTCAACAATAATTGATACTCAAATTAATGATCTGTTTAGGAAACAATATATTTTTAGGGCACTGTGTACTCTGTTATACATGATGATTCTCAACTTGGAAAATTATAGCATATTATGAATAATGACTAATGATGCACTTGAAAAGAAGTTGAAACGAATCCATAAACATGCCGCCAGGAAAATATTTTTTGTACCAAGTATAGTTTCTGTTACAAGTTGTATTTGAGGTTAATTTTCGCACATTTTGTATTAGGTACCCTAAATAATCTCCAAAAAGGTAATTTTTTAGGAAACTCTTCTGCATTATTATTATTAGTCATAATTTACTATAATCATTTCAAGTTTATGCGCATATTCAGAAACACTCTATTTGATGAATTATGAGACTCGCCCTATATATATGAAAATATTCCATAACGGTAAGAAATGATCTGATTTTGAATAATTCAACTCTGCTTCTTTCCTCTATAGGCTTGAAATTTGTTTAAAAACCCACTTAAACCCATATTATATTTGTATTTTGCCTAAGTCTCAATATATGCATAAAAGGAAGATGATTATAATGAAACAGAATATATGTCTAAATACCTCTACTAGATACTAACCGTAAATAAGCATACAAATATTTTCATAAATTTTTTGCGTATTTGAGATATGCTTGTACCTATGAATAATTCATTTTAGATTTCCAACTCGGTATCTAGTTGTTGTTTTTTGTCTGGTTAAAGTCTCCAATGTTTCAAATATAATTTTGATTTTGTTCAGAGGATTTAATTTTTTGTTTCTCATAGGATATCATGTGATTTAGTTTTTAAGTTGAATATGTGTCGAATATGACTTCATTGAAATGTATTTAGTTTCAGCTTTTAGTTATAGTAGGATATTGTTGAATCGTTATCCATAAAGAAATATTGATGAATATATTTTTAGATAATCTTTAGAAATGTAACGAACCGCATCATCATATAAAATATCAGAAATGAAATAATTGTTGCAACTATAAGTTATACTTGAGGAAATCATTGGCAAATAGGACTTTTTATCCTAGTTTTTTTACTGAAATACATATACAGTGAGCACGTAAAGGTTGGA